ATTTTCAGTAGTGATCTAGGGCCAGATTTTCAAAGGTATTTAGGCACCTAATGACGCAAAAGACGCCTACGTGGGATTTTCAAAAACACCTAAACAGGTTATGTGCCTAACTCCCACGGAAAGTGTTACCCCTAATCTCATCTAGATTAAACACCTCTCCTTGTAGGCTTGTTCCCAGACTGTGTTTCCTATTCCTTTGTCCAGTTAAGTTTTAAGTATCTTCAGGAATGGGGCTTCCACCACTTCCCTTTGGGATTCTAACAGATGCCACTGTCAGAAATTTTGCCCTGTGGTTCAGCCTAAATATTCTCTTTCCTAATTCTATCACATTCTTCCTAGTTATAACCCTCTGTTCTAACTAAGACTCCTCCTATGGTGTTCACACACTTCAGATACACAGAGACAATTATGTCCTCCTCCTCCACTCCACCCCACGATTTATTTAGACAAACTGTACATTTTTCGTTCTTTTAATCTTCCTTTGTAAGTCTGTACCTCCAGCTCGAAAGAGGGTAGACAGGAGTGACTGAATGAACAGCGATAGCACCCTTCAGAGGCAGCTCAGCGACAAGTTGCTGTGCAGTGACACTGGAGCTTCCCAGATGACACTTTTATATCCTAGTCTCAATGACGTGCTGAACTAATGATGGACTGACTAGGAGGAAAATAGCTGCAGCGCTAAAATAATAATGGCAGGAGAGGGGTAAAATGGAGTAATTGGATACTAAAGAAAGAAAGATGGAACAGCCCAGGGAAAGGAACTTTGTCAGCATGATGAATGAGGATTTCTCCATGGACTCTAATTAACATTAATGTGAATCACATGGCTAACTCTGATACACAGCAGGCCAAACTCAACCCTAGTGTGACTTGGCTTGGCTAGATGCTGATCTTCATTACATTGGGGGCAAATCTCAGAGTATTTCCATTTAATCCATTGGGGTTACTCTGGATTTACACAAATATAGTGGAGATTAGAATCAGGTGCAGTGTCTTAAAAACACCTTGTCCCTCCCCAACCCCCAAGTAATTAAGAGAAAAAGTAAGAAATGTATAAAGAGGAAGTTGATACGTGCATAAGAAAGACAACTATTGGTATGTGTATATATATGTAAAGTGCATATGTATAGATAGAAAGAAAAATAATATGATAAATAGAGTGAGAGACAGAACTAGAGACATGCAGAAAGAGGCATATTAAAAAAGATTGATAAATACCAAATTGCAGATTCTTTCTGTTTTTTCTTCCTCCTTTTCACATTGGTGTGAGAGAAAAACTGTGCCTTTGAGATATTTATGATGCCAGCTTTGGCAAGGATGGCTACTCCCTTTGGTAAATGAGGCCAGCTCCAATATTTAACTTGAAATCTTTTTTATATAGTCTCTCTCCCTTAAACAAAGATGGGTGGGGTCCAATTCTGACATCTGTGCTATTTGAAGCACGCTTGACTTGTTTAGCAAAGCCTTTCAGAAACACACCTTAATCTGAAGTGTCTACCGAGAAATATGGGAGAACAGATAAGTTCCCTTCACAACATGGGAGGAGGTAGGGCTGTCCTTCTAGGATGACCCTTATAAAAATAGGCTACAGTTCTGGTTCCAAATACAACAGTAACATCTATAATATTTGTGCCCATCATTGTAGAATATTTTGTCTAAGGGTGGATGAGGTAGAGGAGCAGAGAGAGAGAGAGAGGTGTCTATGTGTGAGTGTGTGTTTTGCAGGGCAGGAGCCTAGAATTGAGAGAACGTGGAAACTATATTTCTTATCCTGTCAGATGAAGACATTCCCTTCAGGACAAGGCTCAGGTCTGTTGATGAAGCAATGGAACAGGTCAGAGCTGAGAACCCATTCAAGCTCCATTAAACATAGAATCATAGAATCATAGGACTGGAAGGGCCTTAAGAGGTCATCAAGTCCAGTCCCCTGCACTCATGGCAGGACTAAGTATTAACATACACAAGCTTCCCCGTGCCATGCCCTTTTCTTAAACCTTGTCCAAACACCCTCATGTACAGTAAATACTTCCTGCATCCATTAAATGCTCTGAATCATGCTATGTGATTGGAGCATATGTTTGAATTCATGCATTCATTTAAAGCCCAAATATTTGTTAAAGGGGTGAAACAGACTCCTTTCCCCCTCTCTTTGTACAAATATAGTTTCATTGCCACCAGGTCCAGGGAGAGTTGTTCTCTAAAGCTAGTCCCGGCTCTTTAAAATTAAAAAGAGGTATAGTGATTAGCTGGGGTGTATTCATTAGCGAGACCTCAGGGACTGGATCCTAGTGCCTCCTTAAAGATGGACTGTGGGACTGGTTCTGTATAGCTCCCGGGTGTTCATCCCAGTGGCAAATTTCCCTTTGTTTTATCTTACAAACAGCATACAAGGGCCTGACTCTGCTATCCTAACTCACACTGAGAAGCATCTAATCAGGCGAGATACTCACAATGTGAGCAACAATTGCAAAGTCCTATCCTTCATCACTAGGCTGCTTCTCTTGCCCTTCCGGGTAATGTGGTATGGGAAAAGGTGTTTGGTATTTGATTTGTGGTGAAGGGCAGTGTGTTAAAGGAGGATTATGTACTATACCCATAAAATGATGGTAAGTAAGTGCTCTGAGTAGTTTACCCACTTCTCATTCTCACCATAATATATTTATAAATCAGTTTGAGTGCATACTGCATGCCATTTACTATATAGCAAAATGTCTCTCCACTACCACTAGATAAGTACATTGTAATGGTACCAATTCATTTAATCAATGGATCTGACCTCTCCTTACTTGGTTCATGACTAGTCTGTAATCTGATAATGATTTTCTTGAATTTATTCATTACTTGAAATTACTCACTAAATACTTTCTGCAGATAATTTTCAGCCTGTAGATTCTTTGTGAGCAGCTCATTGAGCGTATTAAAAAATTGTGCTATTTTGATCAGACACATAAGCCACATTGTACGCTTCCATTTCCTGCCTGGATGAACATAACTCTGAGAAGGAAGTTACAGAGCATGCATTTAAAATTTGCTTTCCATGAATATCCTGCAGTATTCCCTGGATATTCACAGTTTCTGTGAACATTCCTATCTGTACATTCATTTGCTAGAATATTCATCGAAAAAAAATACAGAAAGTTGCTGAATGGGACTTTCAATTAACTTAGGAGTACACATCCCATTGAAAGTCAATAGGACTTGTGATTCTACCTCACTTAGGTGCATTTGAAAACTCCTCCTGTTAACACAGTTGAATCATGTTTGTTGATAAATTTGAAGGTATATTTATAGAACATTTTTGTAGGATTCACCTGTCTATTCTCTGTTCTCTCTACCTGTGTAGGGCTGTCTATCTGCTGTTTGTTTCTCATAATATGGGCATGCTTCATTTCCCAGCACACCTGCATGGTGGAAAGATTCACTGTTCTATTGGAAGTGCTGTTCTTCAAAATTAAGGCATTCTCCCAGCAACCCCAGCTGTCTATCCACAAGTGTTTTTATAACCACAAAATGATGACTGAGCGAACGTTTCATTTAGCTGTTCAGAGAACATCCAGATCCCTGGGAGAATTAGAATGGTCAGACCCATCCCTACACAGCAAAGATGTAGTCATTGTAAAAAATCAGCAGGTTGATGGTCAGAGATTGCTCAAGGCACTTAGCCAACTTCCCAGAGATCCTTGTAACTCTCTCTCTCTCTCCCCCTCTATGTTGCTAGGATATTTGTCAACAGAATGAAAGTGACAGTTCCTGGGAGAAACTGAATTTTGTATTAAGGTTGTCTTGTGTGGAAAAGTGAAGCGGTATTTCCAGGGGTGAGTCAGAGCTGAATAGAATTTGCTTTATATATGAGGTTTTTCATATTCCAGGTAACTCAATGCACAACATTGTAAACTAAATGCTAGCAACTCACTAACAGTGTAGATAAACGCAGGAGGTGTTGTGCATTAAGCAGCAGCACACATAGCAGTAGATGTCAGAAACAGTTCTAAAAGAGAGAGCAGGGGAAATGTTGACCTGGATTATCCTTTATATGCATATTGGAAAAGTGCCATGGGATCTTTGATTTCACCATGGGCAGAGGTGGGGTGGGATTACCTTGCTTTAAATAGCCTATGATTTCAGGAAAGATTTAATTGCTGTGCTTTCCACTATGCCTGAAATACCTTCCAAATCCTGCATGCCCTGTAATCTCCCTTTCCTTCATATTCCTCCTCACAACTCGCCTATTCCCACGCTCTCTCCAACGCTGACTCCTACACCCATGCTGTCCTTCTAACGTAGGTAGGATAATAACATTTAAAAAGCTGGTAGTGCTGTGACCCAAAGTATAAAGGAAGCAACCTTATTAGCTTGCCCTGCGTCGTTTCCCCTTCTATTATGTCATACCATATCCAATTTACAATTGAAGTAGGCTTACTACCGCTATATAGCACCTTCCTCACAATTGACTTCCTTGGAACTGTTTGTGGGGTAAGGCACAACCTCATGTGAGTAAGGGTATCAGAATCTGTCCCTTAGATTGTAAACTCTTTGCGGCAGGGATTATCTATGTGTTCTCGCTGTAAATAATTATATACTTAAATTAATCCCTAGCACCAGCACTCTACAATGGGTGAAGAGGGATAGGAAGGTGTCTCCATTTTAGCATTATGGAGTGTGAGGTCTGCGTGGTTTCCAAAGTCCAGTTTGAAAGGTGACAATTTACAATTCACAGCTATGAGAGCAAAGCATTTGCACAAGGGAAAGGCAGACAGAACTCTGGTTTTGGTTCTTCTCTTCCACAGGGCTGTACCCAGAGTTCATTCCAGGTGGGCACAGTGATCCTGTTCTTCTTTATGCTTCTTTATTCCGTGTGGGTCTGGAAATTTAGTTCTGGTTTTGTTCCTCCCCTCCAAGGAGTTGTACTGGATACTTGAAAGATCATGAATAATTATTGATATAAAGTTTGTTTTTTGTCTCATGTTTTGTGAACCTGTCTTTTGAGAGGCTGGGTAAGGATGGGTGAAAATTGGAAGAGGAATCCTGGTCCCTGTCATTCTCCAAAAGTTTCATGCATACAAGTTCCTCCATCTGCTCAGGATACCTACTTACTGAAGGTAACAGACTGATAACAGGCCTAGTTTAGCTTTCTTTGTATTTCACTCACAGCCCTGGGGTCTTACTTAACTCTTTTAGTTAAATGAAACAAAAATGTCCCTTTAGGAGCAGAAGTGACATCTTAGAGGGTACTATCCATTCTTGTAGCCTCGTTTCTGAGTGTATTTAAATAGTTAAAGAAGTTGCAATTAAAACTTGTCTGTAAAGGTTTCTTCCTCAGGTTTAATTACTGCTTTATTTCATAAAATCCCCCTGCAATAGAACAATGGACTTGAATCCTCTCGTTACACTTTGAAATCAGTTTAGAATCAGATGTAAATTTAGTGCTAACAGTTAAATTGCCATGTGCTGCTGTGCTCTTACAGGACCTGAAGCGAGGCCAGAAATGCTACCTCTACAGCATCATGAGAGTTTATGACCGCAAACCTCTGAGGGAAATGCTGTCGCATCAGTACATGCTCAACCTCCAGCGCCAGAATTTGCTGGGTAAGTGCCGGCTGGTATTGCTATGTCCATCAGCAATCTATAGAAATTGGAGTCTGGAGGGTAAACCTGGGGTTTGAGGGAATTAGGATGAGAAGTTTATGGTGCCATATAAGACACCGGACACACAAAATGGAGCCTGGAATAGTTTGTAGGCAGAGGTCAGGAAGCCTTTGGCTGATGAACTCTGCCTTCTGCAGCAGAGACCACTGTGACAACAAGCAGCAAAACACTGTAGGTTTGATGTTATTTATTCATTCGCAGAGTGCCTATCCCTAGCTCCACGTGTTATTTACAGAAATGTTGAATGCATAAAATCAGAGGATAAAAGATATTAAAGATACTATGTCATCTCCTTCCATCAAGGTGTCCGATAGCCATTCTCTTCATCCAGCCATCCCATCCCTCATCCCACACTCTTACCAAAGACCAACAAAAATCAGATGGATCTTTGTAGCATGCCCTGAAGGTCAACAAATTTTGGCTTTGATAGACAATGAATTTGAGTTGCAGACCTTTCATGGAAATTGCCCTACCAGCCACACCCTCTCCTAACCCACACCTTGCAGCCCAAAAACCTGTTAGCTCAACTGCCTGTGCTGACCACAATGGCAGTGATATCCACACAGAAAGGTAGTCTCTGAGGTAGCTGGGTCCCAAACTATTTAGGACTTTGTAAGGTCAAAATCAACTTATTAAATTCCATTCAAATTACAGGAAGGAGATTATGGTCCATGTAATTAGAGAGGTCAACAATGGAGTCAAGCAGCAGAAATTTTCTTCTCATCGTTAAGCTAGCACCACAGATGCATAAGTCTCAAATATCATTTCTTCTCTCACCACTGACCACATCAGGGACAATGTCACATATCCGTGAGACAGCAGCTGCCAGCAAAAGGTTCTGAAGCTCTAATTGTACTTAGAAATATTATCTTCAGACTTCATAGTTCATGCATGGCAAGGAGCACGTCTCATCCCATCAGTTTTAACACACCATGCTGCATGAAGTGATGCTGCTGTATCACTTGTTCAGCTAGTTTTTATGTGCAGCTTGATGTTTTTCCAGTGCAGGCTCCCCTCTCTGGTGAATGTATTGGTATGCAACATCACTGTCCATCAAAGATATAGCACTTGTGCATGTATGTGTATATAATACTTGATTCCTGTCCATTTTCCCTATCCTCTCACCCAGGTCATATTACTGAGCATGAAGTCAGGTTTTACACCTCCTTCCTGGATGAAGCTGAAGAGAGAGACCCAAGGAAGGTCTCAGTTAGAAACAGCACCTCTCTGAAGTTCAGTGTTGGGAGAACTCAGCTGTAGTTCATAGATTCTAAGGCCAGAAGACATCACTGTGATCATCTAGTCTGACCTGCTGTATAACACAGGCCATAGAACACCCCCAAATAATCCCTGTTTGAACTAGAACCTCTCTTTTAGGAAAAGATCCAATGTTGATTTAAAAATTGCCAGTGATGGAAATTCCACTATATCCCATGATAAATTGTTCCAATGGTTATTCTCAGTGTTAAAAAATTGTGCCTTATTTCCAGCCTGAATTTGTCTAGCTTCAACTTCCAGTTGTTGGATCTTGTTATACCTTTGCCTGCTAGACTGAAGAGCCCATTTTCAATTTTTTTATTTCCCAGGTAGGCACTTACAAGATATGATCCCCCCCTTAACCTTCTCTTTGTTAAATCAGGTTGGATTAGAAAAGGCAGCAAGGACATACTGAGGTCTCAGTGGAAAGATGTCTGATAATTGTCTGTCCTTCACTAACCTTTTTCTGTTAGAGTCTAACTCTGACATTAATTGATATCAACTATCCCTCACTTAAACTTAATCTCCATCTTTCCCACCAATTTGTAGGAATTCACGGTGACTGAGTCCAGCCAGCTGGACTTTGTAGGGACCGGAGGGATTGGCAGTTAGTCCATCTTTCTGTGTTTAAAGCACTGGCTGTATTTCAACGTTAAAAAGTTTGCGATGAAGACTGGCACTTCTGAGCTGTGGTGTTGGCTGCCTTGTGGAGTAGAGAGGTATGTGACAAGAGCAGGCTGGGAAGGGCTGGATGGCAGACAGCATAAAGCAGCATCCATCGGGCTGTGGTACTGATTTAGGCTGGATTTTCAATGGGGACTAAGGTAGTTAGATGTCCAAAGGCAAAAGACTTTCAGTGTAAATTGGATGCTGAACTTCCTTTGAAATCCCAGCCTTAAACATGAAATGAAGAATGTCAATATGTAAACAAAATTAAAACTGTTCCACCATATGAACTTTCTGCTGGACAAAATGGAGGCAGCTACTTTTTTTTAAAGTCTGGGAAGCAACTTGCATGACCATGGGTCCAATCTTTTGTCTGTCTCCTCCCTTTAGGAACAAGGGTCCTGGGTCCACTAGCTCCCATTTCACCTCCTTCACTGTACTGCAGATCTGCTTTGAGTTGATCTGCACCCACCTCCAAGTGACAGTGACATATATTGCATAACCCAGATATACTATTCCTGCATTCTATGAAGGGCTTTCCCACAACATCTATGTCTGAAAGAACTGGGCCTCTTCTCCCAGGAATAATTAGATTCCAAACCCATCTCCTGTAGCCCTAAGGAGGGCAACAGTGAGATCATCCTGAACCATGCCCCCTTTAACAACTGGAAGACAGGAATCCAGACCAACCTCTCTTGCCTTTAACTCTTGAGAAACAAGGAGGATGGAGAAAATTCAAAAGAACGCAGTAGGATTAAGAATTAGGAGATGTTACAAAAAATACTAAATCTTTGGTTGGGGCTAATTGGCACCCCAGCTGACAGTCCATGCATAGAGGGCAAGGATAATACAGGCAATGAAGCAGAAGTGGTTTGTTCAGGCCAGGGCTGAAGCACATTGGTGGTGAAGTGGGAGGAAGCTGGCACTGCTGCTGCCACTGCTGTGTCTGTTCTGTGATTAGAGGACATCATTCTTCAAGGCTGGCAATCCAGACCCTTTTCTGAGCACCAAATTCACTTCAATAGAACCAGCTGAATTTTTTCTATCAAAACTGTCTTTCAAGGGAAAATTGGATTTTTGGCTAAATGGGAGCTAAACTGGGTTTTCAGTGGAAAATTTTGACTTGGAAGATGTAGTCCAGCCAGGCAGGCCTGGCCCATATGGGAGAATGGGGGATGAAGCACCCAAACTACAACTCCCATGAGTAGGGTGAGCAGATGTCCTGATTTTATAGGGACAGTCCCAATATTCGGGGCTTTGTCTTATATAGGCACCTATTACCCCCTACCCCATGTCCCAATTTTTCACACTTGCTATCTGGTCAGCCTACCCATGAAGCACTGTGGCAGCATAGGCGGACACTGCCCTGTGACTAAACATTGTGGCAAAAGGGTTCAGTTTTGATTTTCTTGGTGGAAACTTTCAGTTTTGATTGAAAATATTTGATTTGCAGGTTTTTGATGAAAAGTCGCAATTTTCCACAGGGGGACCCCCCCGCCCCATTTTCTAGGCAGCTCTACATTTAATCAGGCTAATTATGCAGAAATTAAAGGCCTTATTGTTAGGCTAACAATAAATCTAATTACATTCAACTTTATTGGGATGAGTAATAGCAAAGGGGACCCTGATCAGCGGTGCTCCATCTGACCCAATGAGAGCACAGGCTGCTCAGCACCTTGCAGGATGGGGCCCTTGGATTGCTGGCAGTTTTCTGATTTTTGCCTCAGTTTTTTAGCCTTGGAGAGAACCACAAAGGCACGAAGTCCTAGTGACATCTGTGTCTATACAATCATAATGAATTGTTAAATGCACCAGAGTTGATGTAAATAAATCATCTTATCAGGCTTATTTAGCCTGGTGCCTATCATCAATTGACTTGTAATACAATCCCAGCACTGAAAATCCCTTTTTCCTTTACAATTAGATTTATCCCTAATTATAATTGGAAGACATCCTGACAGCTTTGAAATACTGAGTTGGACTAAAGCTCACAGCAATATTTATTCATTTATTTAGATTTTAAAACACCCATATGCAAAGATATAGATGGCTCAACGATTAATTAGACTTACAGTGACAACCCAGCAACATTAAAAGCTTATATACAGGTAACACATTAACTCAGACAGCTAGTAAATCATAGCAGCACAAAAGCCCCCTTTACCCTCTGGTCTTGTGGCAACATACCTTCAACCTTTCCTCAAAACTCCATCAAGGAAATGGTGAACCAGTGGAAACTAGTCCCTACAGAAGGAGAAGCAGGCCTTTTCTTCCTGAGCTTTTCTTCCTGAAGGTACCTCTTGAAGGACACTGCAACTGTTTAAGAGCTCACAGCAAGGTGCTCATATACCATAGTGATGAGTGCAGTATAAAACCATAAATTGTATAGAAAATGTCAAGTTTACATGACACTTCAGGGGAGTGGTGAAGACTGCAGAAGGAAACTGGGAGGTACATTGTAGTTGTACCCAAGATGGAATATGGCGCTGGGTCTAGGACATTTTGTAGGTTAACCTTTTTATTAGAGTCAGGTGTCTAAAATACCATTCCTTTTGGAACACTGTTCACTGTGCAATATTCTGCTATCCTATAGACACCATTCACATTTTTCTAGGACACTTAGGAGACTTTAATTTTTTACTGCTGAGCTCATTCACAAAATGTTTTCTCTATAAGGCTCTCTGATATAAAATATATCTCATATATTATTTTTGACCCCCTTCCTCCCGGAAAGAGCCATTAAAGAGAGAAAACAATGTTTTGCCTCTGGTGATAGGAGGTTAACAACAGATGGACTACAATCCTATTCTGCACCAGCCTGGAATCCAACCCAGCTCTACATATGATTTCCTCCAAGGGTTTCGCTTTAGAAAACTACTGGTTTTTTTAGCTAGCAAAGGGAGATTCACATTGTGGTAACAATCTAGAGTTCCCTCTGCTCTCTTCTGTGGGTAATGTTTTATTGCTGAAAATATAACATATCCTATATTATGGATCAATTTCCAAAAACACATTCTCTCACTGTAATGAGAATATATAAAAGACAAAACAAACCATAAACATTACTGGTATCTCAAGATGAAATTTTGTCAAGCATGGCATATTGTTTTTGCAATATATTTTACTATGCCATTACAACATATTATTCAATATAGCCCTGCTATCCATTACTGTAGCTATTTGGTATATACTACCAATTGATTTAGCAGTTTAGTTGCATCGTTCTGTAGTTTTTAGTAAACAGAAGACATTGTGCTAGATTATGGGTATGACTTGTGTGGCTGTGCATGGTAGTAAGGTCCTGCAAGGTCATGGAGGACCTACTGAAGACCCTGAGCCCAGGCATGGTGGTGGGAGAGAGCAGAGGAATCATGCCTGCTATTCCTCACAATGTGAGCAACGAGGATGGATAAGGGCAGGATGGGGGATGGAGTAGGCAGATACGTGGGAGGCAAGATCAAACCAGTAACTTAGATGCCTATATACAAATGCGAGAAGTATGGGTAATAAGCAGGAAGAACTGGAAGTGCTAATAAATAAATACAACTATGATGTTGTTGGCATCACTGAAACTTGGTGGGATAATACACATGATTGGAATGTTGGTGTGGATGGGTACAGCTTTCTCAGGAAGGATAGACAGGGGGAAAAGGGAGGCGGTGTTGCCTTATATATGAAAAATGTACACACTTGGACTGAGGTAGAGATGGATATAGGAGACGGAAGTGTTGAGAGTCTCTGGGTTAGGCTAAAAGGGATAAAAAACAAGGGTGATGTCATGCTAGGAGTCTACTACAGGCCACCTAACCAGGTGGAAGAGGTGGATGAGGCTTTTTTTAAACAACTAACAAAATCATCCAAAGCCCAAGATTTGGTGGTGATGGGGGACTTCAACTATCCAGATATATGTTGGGAAAATAACACAGCAGGGCACAGACTATCCAATAAATTCTTGGACTGCATTGCAGACAACTTTTTATTTCAGAAGGTTGAAAAAGCTACTAGGGGGAAAGCTGTTCTAGACTTGATTTTAACAAATAGGGAGGAACTCGTTGAGAATTTGAAAGTAGAAGGCAGCTTGGGTGAAAGTGATCATGAAATCATAGAGTTTGCAATTCTAAGGAAGGGTAGAAG